GAAATATATAACATACAAGATTAGATTAACAAAATAGAGGTATTGCTTTATTTCTTAAGAATTACTCTAATCTAAAACTTTTCTAGTATATTGTAAAAATTTATTCTATACGTTATTTAGGTACCTACTGCAAAATCTATAGGAAAGTATGTAGTTTTAAATTTAAAAATTTGTAACGGAGACATATTTAGTGTAGTTTTTTTACAAATATATTCTCAGTGACTTGTTTTTGTGAATGAGTTCAAGTATGGCAGACTAAAATCGTTATTTTTTATTATGAATTAATTTGAATTTATTTTAAAATGGGAAATATATGTATATGGTTTTCGTAGTTTTTACACTTGTGATAAAAATATCAAAGTTATGTATATTGGCCATTTACTACACACAGCAAATTCATAGACACAATACATATTACTATTTGACATTCTTGTAAAAACCACTAATTTAATTATAAAATTGACTTTAAACTAAGTGACTACACACAGAATTGTTTGAAAGCAGCCATAAGGTATAATTTATTTATTGGATACTATAAAAAAATAATAGTAGTTACATGTAGAGTTAAGTAACAAGAAATTTAAGACCAAAAACAAAACAAACCTTTATATCTAGTGAACTTAATTTACTACAGTCCTCACTTTCTTAGGCTAACATTAAAGATATCTATTTGGATCTCGCTAAGAAACTCATTGGTAACAGCCATCATCTTGTTAAAAGGAGATATACTACTTGGATCTAAATCAAATAATTTTTTGTTACTTGGGTTTCTTAGATTAATCTTTGCCGCATTAACATTTATATAATCAATCAATTCACAATCTTTGTACTTAAAATAGAGTACAAAATATATCACAGCCTGTTGATTTCTTCTTTATAAAAGAGATTTGATCTTAAAACTATTGAGCATAGTTTTATACGAGATCTTAGGTATAAAGGTACAGGTATTTTTAATGACATAAAGGTACCGTAAAAATATTTTTTGTACTTTTTCAATATGATCAATTTGTGTGGCTTCCAAATTTGTGAAACATACTCAAGATGGAGTCTTACTAAGGCATTATATAATCTGATTTTGGTGGTAATCCTAAATTTTTTTGTATTTCTGATTTAAAAACCTAATGCTTTTATTGCTTTTTTAGTTATGTGTAAAAAATGGTTATTGAACTTCAAATTAGACTGAAAGACAACTCCCAAATCCTTTACCTCATATTCACGATTTAATGTGACATCACAGGTCTTATTTCTAATGTAAAACAATAAGAGGCTATGGATCCTTACAACTTAAAATATGCATACGTTTGTAAGTGTTAAATAGACGGATAAAAAGTGTTGATTTTTATTTACAACTATAATAAGAACCCATTAAAAAGATTAAGAGCAATAGAACATTTCAACAAATTTCTATAGGTACACATATTTTTGATACCTGATAATCAATAAATAATATATTTTTTGGAGTAGCAACAGGTTTATTAATACACAACTATTATTTTGTTACAAATACTTATAATATTTATAATTAACATAATAGTTGATATAAGTCCTTTAAAAATAATATATTTTGATTTAATTGTTGAATTTATACATGAGCAATTTTCCTTGTAGCGTTATTTACATTTTGTAGAGAAATATTGTATTCTGCTTTTAGCTGATAAATCATGTACATGTAAATGGGTTGAATGTAGACAATGTTAATGTTTTTACTACTACTGCTGGCTAGGAGTGCTGGGCTGGGACACCAACAAAAAAAAGGAAGCACAAAGCACTAGATGTTTTTATCACTTATACACGTACAATTTACAACCATTCAAGTAACTAGCATGTTGGAAATACTTCACGAAAACATATTAAACATAAATCAGCTGAAGGCAATGTATTTTCTTTTTGTAACACACCTTTTTAGCTTGATTACTTTTAGTACTCTATTTATGTCCTCAAATAAAACGAGCAATAATAAGGATAAAACACACACTGTATTTGAGGTATTTTTGATCTAAATCCACTATCAAAATACCAAATTTTCCATTTTTAAGCTGTGAATGTATTACAAAAACTACTTCGATAAAATGTAAACAAAAGTTTATATTTGTGTACGAAATATGGGTTGCCTGCGCATGGTAGCGAGTTTTTAACCGGATTTATGACAAGTGATAGGTTATATCCCGAAAACGTCAGCGCAGTAAAAGCTGCGCGTCTTTTTCCCGCCCAGGGAGTGTCATGGGCCTGATTTTACACAAGTGCATATGAAAACTAGAGAGACTTAGCATTAGAGTGAGGAGAAAAACAATAATATTAACGTTGCTAGTTACAACGCGAAATTTAAATGACCTTGAATATTATTTTTTGGTTTAGAGCATAGATTACTTATGTGAATAGATGGGAAACTCAATAGTAAAATTCTGAGTCGATGTGCTGCCATCTATCAAATTGGAGTGGTACTAAAATTTAATATGGCCGCCACGAGCGGGCTTTTTGAAATTTACCTTTGTAGTAGCGCAAAAATGTAATGAAGAAAATCAAATAAAGCAAAAAAATTGGAAAAATATTTGACTAAATTCAAATCATAAAACAACCATATTGACTGTTTTGTGATTTGAAACTAGTCAAATATTTTGCCAATTTATATCTTTATTTGATTTTACTTCATTATATTTTTGCATTAATTTCAAACTTGAAATAAAATGCAATTTATTTTATTTTTTTTTTTATTACAGTAAATTATCGCCGCATCATATAATTTGTCTATTTAAACATGGAAATACTCTAAACAAATATGCATTTACACCATTTAAATAATTAAATATTTATAACACAAACCTATCAAAAATGTGTTCTGTAACAAAATCAGCATATATAAGTGCTCAAGACCTTTATAAAAGTTTTGCGACTTGGAGTGGCAAATAAGTTTGAAAAAATTGAAGTTGAAGCATCATCCTTTTTTACTATCGAGGCAAATTTGAGTGTGGATAAAATTTGCCATAGGGTTATCGAGTCGACTAGTTATGTCCGATAATTGTTTTCTTGATTCATTTATACAGCACTTGTAGTTATCAAATTTTTATTCATCATGTGGGCACTGTGATAAATGAATTTAACTTTTGAGCATAAATTAAACTTACACACGTTTGGACCCTTGAAGATTTTAGGGCGTTTTCTTGTTTGATGTCAATGGCATTGAATCAGTTTTTTGATATTGATGGCTGAGGCTCAAATATTTCATCAATCGACAGGGTATTTTGAAGGGCCAACATTTTCTTTACAACAATGATCATTTTAAAACTGAAAACAAAAAGAAATTTAAATAACAAACCAATTATTTTAACACTGAATCAAAAACAAGTTTGTAAATAGTACTTACCATTGATGCCAGTACAAGATGCATTTTTCTTAAGACACTTATTACAAATTGTTTGGGTATACGTGGTATAAATTGCATCACTACCAATATCTGGGAGTGCTTTATTGTTCGTTGCTGAAATCCACGTTCTCATCTCAAATGTGCTTCAAATACAACAGGCCATTTTAATTTTTCCAAGTTTGAAGTTTCGTTGACAAGCTGACAACTAACATGACATTTCTATACGAGCGCCATCCCGTTAATTGGAGTGGTACTAAATTACCGTCCTCATGTTTTTCCATTTGAGTTACCAGCCCCTGGTTTAGAGTGTTAAGCACTGATAGAGTTTTCCAAAGAGATGCACTTTTCTTCTAGGAAATAAAAGTTTAGTAACATTTAAAGTTTGATTTTTACCAATAGATTGTTCAAATCACTGTTTTGTAAAATGTGTATTAAAAAAGAGTTAAATAATCCCTTTGAAGTCATATCAAGGCCTAAAAGAGAAGCTATAAAAGTTTTAGCTTGTGTGATAAATTTTCTGAGAAAATGCCAATTTGTCGTAATATTTTTTTTATATGTTCAGCGATAATTCTTTAACACGGTATCTGATTGCAATGATTCTTTTTTGTTAGAAACGGGGTACTACAGGGGTGGTCCCATATTAATTTGGTCAAATTCTAATAATTGGATCCATTAGAAAATCCTCAAACTCTTCATTTTTAATGTATATTTAGCGGTAATTCTTTACATCCTTGTCCAATTTATATTATTCTTTTTTTGTTAGTAAGCAGGTACCTCAGGGGTGGTCCCATATAAATTTGGTTAACTTCTAATAATTGGGCCCATGAGAAAAATCCTTAAACTCTTAATTTTTTATGTATGTTTAGCGATAATTCTTTACCACTTTTTCCGATTTCTATGATTCTTTTTTTGTTAGTCGGTTTTTTAAAATTATTTTTAATACTTGTAGATAAAATAGTTTTTCTGCGTTTGACAAGTTTTGATTTTTAGTAAGTCGATGATACTTTTATATGGAATACTTGAAAATGTTTCAATGTTGACTTCTGGAAATATTTCCTGAAATATGATTTGCATTATTTTGAGCTATATTTTGATCAGTAATAGGTTGTAACTTAGTAAATGCATCTTCTACTTGCGATAATAAATGAATATATACATTTTGAAATGTTAACCTCTTCATCGTGATCCTCTTCATCGACGAGAAGTTTGTCTTGAGAGGTTAAATAGTCTGTTTCATCTTGAGTTAGTGTATACTTTTTTTTCTAAAGCATTTATTTGATGTATAAGTTCTGTAAGATTTAAATCTTCTTAATGTAAGTTTCCCCGCTCGTTACAGTTTGACCAATCATTTGTTCATTACGGCAATTCGGGTATTACGTGTGATTATCTCTTGCTTTTAGAAAGTAATTGTGTTGTGGAAGAAAGGGTGATGTCACCTTGCTGATTTCTGAACAATGCTAGAAACATCAGAGGAAAAATAAAATAAATGGAACACAGCAAAATACTTCAACATCATCGTTACTAGTTTTTATGACCAGGCCATCGTTACAATGATAAGCTACATTTTTTAGAGTTAAAACTTTAATTTTTTATTAATATTTAGATAGTTAGGGTCGATTATTATTTAATATTATTTTAGGAGTTAAAGAATTTGGAAGCGATTTGAAAAAACTCGGTCTACCAGTCGAACATGCCCCGCAGGTGTCTCAGTTAATGAAAATAGGATCCTTAAGTTTCGAAGATTTAAAACAGTTCTCATTTTGCATAGAAGAAGCATTGTTTAAACTTCAAGCTCACAGAGATAGAGCGTTACACTATAAAATGGAAGAGGTTCAAATTACAGCTGTAGATGAATTATATGTGGAACAAGAATCTGATGGTTAGTATACTATATATTTATAATTGTTGTTTTGAGCTTTCAGAAAAACATGATTTATTAAATTAGATTAATTTATTTTTACAAGTATAACTAAACCGGAAATATTAATTATAATAAGCCAAGATCAAATAATAAAGTTCTAGTTAATATATTACCAGTAACGACAAAATAGAAGATATAAATAAAAATCAAAATTCCAAATCTGCTTTTTCTTCTTCTTGGTCTGAAAAATAATCTTCGCCAAAATGAATAACTATAATAGGTTGGATTTGCACAATTGTTGCTTTGTATTAATTTATCTTTGATATACACCCAAATTGATTATATTGGATTAAAATGCAGTAATTTAAGTGTAATCAACTTTTTTTTTCAAAGATCATCAATTAGTATACTATATGAGCCAAGATCGAATAATAAACAAGTTCTAGTTAATAGGTACCAGTAAGGACAATACAGAATATATAAATAAAAATCAAAATTTTAAATCTGCTTCTTCTTCTTTTTTTTCTTCTTCTTGGTCTGAAAAACATTCTTCGTCAAAATGAATAATTATAATAATAGGTTGAATTTGCACAATCGTTGCTTTGTCTTAATTTATTTTTAATATACACCCAAATTATTTCTTTTGGATTAAAATGCAATAATTTGAGAGTAATCGCCCATTTCATCATCAATTAGTATTCTTTTTCAAAATTTTGTTATAGATGTCTAATTTCAAGCAATACTTTTTGTATTTTTCTTCCATGTTCGTGATTGTCTTTAATTTTTTTTAGCAGATACTAATGACTCATTATTTACAACCCCATCTTGATATACTTTTTACAATATATTTTTTGTAACTACTTTTTCATTTAAAGGTCATATTGAAAGACAAATTGCCAGGGTCCGATTGTTCTTTTTGGGATTCCTAACTGGTATGCCAGACGTAGAATTAGGCATTAACGACATGAGGAGGCAAGGAAAGGAGGTTGTAGGTAGACACGATATTATTCCAGTGGAAACTGAAGAATGGATTAGATTAGAAGATGTGGAATTCCACTCTTGCATTCAACAAGAAGATTATGAACTAACACATATAATAAAGTGAGTATTAATTTTTATGATATAGGCTATTTCACCGATTATGTAATATATGTCATCACTAATGTACCGTAAAATGGGATGAATAGGGTCGGTTTTCGATTTTGTAAGCTTGTAACTTCGAAACGTAGCCATCTAAAATATTACGCTCTAGCTAAAAACATGAGTCAAGGGTAGTACTTCTAAATGTCTATATTAGTTTTATATAGGGCACATGCCCTCACATATATATATATATATATATATATATATATATATATATATATATATATATATATATATATATATATATATATATATATATTTTTTTTTGGCTCTGATCCTATTCACCCCGTAGGCGGTGCTAATAGAATCACTCACTGTTTTATGGTCTTTATCGCATTTAAACACACGCTGGGCGAAAAGGATCAACAATTTTCATTTTTAAAAAATATTTTAAACTATTTATTTAAATAAATGTACTTATTTGAATTCAAAACAGGTACACAAGTTATATATATACCGATAACGTAATATTTGATTAACGGAACAAGAATTCTTTGGGTTATAGTTAACTACAAAAAGCAAACAAGAAATTAAAAAGCCTTAAAATCAACCTAAAACTTTAAATATCCCCTTAAATATTTACTTGGGGTTCTACTTTTCTCACAACTTGGTTAAAAGAAAATTCGGTCAGTTCTTTATCATCGGGAAATTGGTAGATATAACCAGGAAAATCTCTCGTATGTTTCCCTCGTAGAAAATTACCCGCAATACCATTCGGATTTTTTTGCATTATTTGGCAAATAAAAAATCGTAGGTTGTTGCTGGCGCTACTTTTTTTTGATTCAGTGGGAAAACCCACCAAGAGCCAATCATTTTTCTTAATTTCTTCTTCTGTATTTATTGGGGACACATTTATGAACTTCTTCCCGAATTTGTTGACTGAGGATTTTATAGAGTTGGTATTCTTCGGTAACTCAACTGCCACATCACTGAATGATCCATCACTGGACTCCATTTTCGCTTCTTCAGCAGAACTTATTTCAATATGTTCACCCTCTTCTTCACCGCTCTCTGGATTCTCATCATACTGCACACTTTTCCCTGCCTCTACAGCAGTTTTTTTCCCAGATTTTTTTCCTTGGGCCATCGCCGTGTATCATTTCTTTGAGAAGATCCCTGAACGAGTTATCTAGATTCTGGTTGATATCGTTATTTTCAACTTCATCTTTTGGAATCATCTCAAGAACCTTATTTCTGTTAATCGGAATAATTCCAGCTTTGCAAAATCTATTTTTTATGTTTTGCGATGCATTCGGTTGAATTTCAGCGATTAATTTAGATAAAAGCCTTGGGAATACACTATTTGGATGTGAAGGTTCATTCATGCCAGGGTCTCGTTTCCACTGTAAAAGTATTTTGCGCCAAGCCATTTTTAATGGCCTGAAAAAAGCTATGTCCAAAGGCTGTGTTAAGTGGGTCGCGTTGCCTGGCAAAAATACAAAACTAATATCATGCTTCTGGAAAAGTGAGACTATTTCAGTGGACAAGTGGGATGAAAGGTTATCCCCGATAAGGACTTTTTGGCCTTCTAATTTCGCGATATATGGGCAAGCAACTGTTTTGATCCTGTCTGTAAAGGTCCTGTTGTCAAACCAACCCTAGCTGTTGAGTTAAATCTTGTGTGTTTCGGTGCTCCTTCTATCCATGTGGAATAAACATGTTTTGCCTTATAATTCACATACCATGGTAACATTTCTCCAGTTCCGGTAGCTGCAAACATAATCGATACAACACTGTTGGTTTGATTCATTACCCTTTCTGGATATTTACAACCTCTTTTTGTTATTATCTTCTGCCTATCAGGGTTATTACTGAGGTTGGTCTCATCGTAATTTATTATATGAGACGCCGGAATATCACGCAGGGTTTCTTCTAAATTATTAAAATATTCGTTTATTATATCAGGCTCTTGCACGTTTTATATTTTGACAAATACGTACAGCAATTTTATCTTTATGTCTCGCCATAAAACGAGTTGCAAAATCCTTACCGGGCAAATTCTCTTTAAATTTGGGCACTATTTTTCCCGGTTGATCCAAATAATGTTTAACTATTAGTCTTAAGCCATACAGATCTAACGGATACCCCCATTCGGCACATAACTGAATTTTTTCGACGATTAACAATTATTATTTTTCACTCAATGTGGTCTGTCCACCTTGTTTCTTAACGTTTCGCTTCTTAATTCGTCTTTGTAATACTTTATAGGATATTTTAAAATGCTCAGCAGCTTTCCTTATTGTCATTCCGCGGGCGACAGCCTCCTTAGCCCTTGCGATAACTTCCGGATCATGCTTGCGGTATCTTTTTCCGTGTCGGTCGGGCTTATAAACACGAGGCATGTCAAACAGCTGTGATCCTATTCACCCCGCGATCTCGAGCAACAGGTGTTTTTTGTTTTGGATCACCTACAAAATAAAAACCTGTTGCTAATTAAGGATTTTTCGTACGGATTTCACATAAGTAATAAAAAAAGGTTACTAAAAATAATAACACTCACCTTTTTTAAGTTCTGTGTTTAACTAGACCTTTCAACTTTCTGGGACAATATTTTTGCGGCTTAATTTCACATTTGAGTTTATGGTAGACAGCATGCGATGTTGCCAAGCTTTCGTACGTTTTATGTCACAGAAACTACATCTAACAATAAACAATTCAAATTTGTGCATTGGAGAGACCTTCTATTTCGAATTTGAATTATTGCAAATTTTTGAAAATTAAGAGTAACTTTCAATCCTATTCGCCCTGCTGATCCTAATCACCCCATACTACGGTACATTAGCGGCGCTACAAGTTTTTACTCTATAATATAGGACACAATACTAGGATAGAATAATCAGGATTTAAAGGAAAATCATTTTCAAACTCATCGAAAATAATGATTTTGATAAATAGCAGTTTGTGTATCTCAAAAATTAACGATACCGTTTTATTTTAGGTTCAAACCGCCTGATGCTTGTTATATAGAGCTGCTGAGATTTAGAGTAAGGCCTCCGAAGAATCGAGAACTTCCTTTACAACTTAAAGCTCAAATTTGCGTTACAGGGTACAAAGTGAGTTTATCCGCTTGATTTCTCTTATTTTACAAACAAACATTTGTTTTTTTTATTTCTAGGTAGAACTTAGGGCAGATGTATTGGTTCCAGGATTTGCATCCAGAAAACTAGGACAGGTTCCGTGTGAAGACGTTATGATACGCTTTCCAATACCGGAATGTTGGATATATTTATTTAGAGTAGAGAAACACTTTAGATATGGTTCTGTTAAATCTGCGCATAGAAGGTTAGTATTGTATTAGAAGCCCACCAAATCTTTCAACAGGCTTTCAAGATGGATACACAAAATTATTGAAGTTGTTTGTTCGCTTTAAACGTTATAAGTGTAGATTATCATGCTTATTTGCAAATATCCAGTCAAAGTGTGCTGGCTCTATCTATCGATCTATCTATCTAAATTAGGGCGTGGTTCAAATCCCACTCGTACTGAAAGTTCTAGTTTTATTGTACCCCTCTCAGTTTCTATTCCATCAGATTGATTTTCTTGATGAATTCAAGAACATGTCTGATGGACGCTCTCGCGATTTCTTCAGGTTCCGGGTATTGTACCCCGAAGTACAATTCCCGTTCCCACTTAAGGTTCTGACAGTGGCATAGTATGTGCAATAGGAATTTCGTCCTCCTCTTCACATATTCTACATAGGGAGTTATCAGATATCCCTAAGAGATTTAGGTGTCTTCTAAGGCCGCAGTGTCCCATAAGGAGTCCTATTACGGTCTTGTGTTCGCTTCTGCTGAGGTTTAGCAATTGATTTTGTCTGCTCGTGGATGGCCCCTCTATGAATGTTTTGGACTGTCTAAGTCCAGGAAGTTACAACCAGAGTCTATGGTGTTCTCTATTTGTTTGTTCCTTTAACACCCATTTAACATGTTGGTATTAGATACTACATGTGGGTTCTGATCCAATAAGAGTTTTTCCGCTCCCTTCCTTGCTAGGAGGTCTGCTTTCTCATTTCCAAACACTCCCTCATGTCCCGGCACCCATTCAAGGGTTACCTTGTTATGTTCTGCCAGGACCTGAAGGGATTGTTGTTAGATTGTATTTCTACCCTTTTAAGTGATTTAAAGTCTGCCTGACAGTCTGTCATGATAAAGACCCTCTTATCCTTAAACGAATCATTTAGCATGACTTTGGCGCAGGTATTTATGGCTTTTACTTCAGCTTGGAAGACTGTTGTCAGTGACCCCAGGTTCAGACTAATGCTCCTCCCTGAGTTCACATGGTAGATCCTAGCTCCTGTGCTGTTTTTCATTTTCGAACCGTCTGTATACCAGATTTATTCGTTTTGTTTTTCCCTATTTTCCCAGCTTTTGGCCCTTTCTGGTATTTGAATTTTGAAAGGTTTCCTGAAGTCGTGAATAATGGGCCTTCTATCCGATGGCATTCTTAGTACCGGATTTTGTTTTAATTTCACTAATATCAATATGTGGTGTCCTTTTCTCCAAAGTTCCCATCCAAATCCATTAGTAAACAGCTTGTATGCCTCCGCCATAGCCTCCTTCTCCATTACAAGGTGTAGTGGAGGAAGACCTAGCAGTAGCTCTATTGCTGCTGTTGGAGCAGTTCTAAATGCCCCTGTTATTCTTAGACAGGCTAGTCTTTATATCTTGTCTAATTTTCTGTTAGTTGTTATGCTTTTAGTCTTGTGCCACCACATAACTGATAAGTAAGTTATAACAGGTACTACAACCATAGTGTAAAGCCAGTTCATCATACTTGGTTTAAGTCCCTATATGTTCCCTACCATCCGCCTACAGGCCTATAGTATTCTTACAGCTTTTTCTGTTGTTTTTTCTATATGGCTGCAGGAGCTAAGCTTGTCATCAAGAGTGATTTCAATATATTTAACCTCTTTTGCCATTTTTAGATGTTGTCCCCACATACAAAGCTCCTTCATTCCTTGAGGTTCCTTCTTCTTGTGAATGCAACAACAGAGGTTTTTGTCGGGTTTGTGGACAATCCCTCTTTTATGCACCATCTTTCGACAATATTTAGTGCCTTCTGCATCCTTTCGGATACAACAGACTCAAGTTTACCGTTTACTACGATGCTTATGTCATCTGCAAATGCTGGCGTGTATAAGTTTTCTCTCTCTAACTCCTGCTGGCTCTAACTCACTCCTATTTGTTTTGAAATTTTCAAAGAGGGAACAACATTTCAAACACGTCATTTCTTCCTTTAAATCGCCCTTAGATGGCAAAGAAGAAGAGTTGAGAACAACATTATGATCAAATGTTAAATTTATACGATGACGCCGCTTGATAAATTGATTTTAAAAGGTCTTTACTAGCTGCACCTAGGATGAGAACCCTTTACTTTTTGATGCAAAGCTTTGTTCCTAAATATTCAAACTTGGTAAATTAGATTGGTTAGATGTGTTTTTTAACGACTCATTTATTATACAGAACTGGAAAAATTAAAGGAATTGAGAGGATATTGGGAACAATGGAAACATTACAAGAAAATTTAATAGAGGTTACTTCCGGTCAAGCCAAATATGAGCATCAACATAGGGCTATAGTTTGGAGGTGTCCAAGATTACCAAAGGAAGGTCAAGGTAAAAATTATAATAAAAATATTTTGATAAAATACATAAAATATAGGTTTTTTTAATATGAAACCTGATGTATGTTAATTAATCATTTATGCAGTAACGATGCGGTGTTGTCTACTCGTTCGAATAATTGAGGAATGTAGGAAGTTTCAAAAATGCAACGTTATATGTAGGTTACAATAGGACCAATTAATGAAAAATGTTGATTAATTCTTTTATGCATAATATCTGAACAAAATTTTTAATTTTTTTTCCTCATTAGTTTATTCTAAGAATTTTTTTGTTTCTTGTTTCTTTACTTGAGTTAGAACTTGTTGATATTTTTTAATAGTCGGCTAATATTTTGTATATAAACCAGCGTGTTTAACTTTACATTGTAGCTTAATATATACGATTTATTTTATTTATTTTTGTTAAGATTTGAAAATTTTTAGGTGCTTACACAACACATAATATGGTATGCAGGATAGCATTAACAAGCTATGATCAAATGCCTGAAAAATTAGCGGAATACTGTTTTGTTGAGTTTACTATGCCTGCCACACAAGTTAGTCATACTACGTGTAGGAGTGTCAGTTTACAAAATTCCGACAGTGATGATCCTCCAGAGAAATACGTCAGATATTTAGCCAGGCATGAATACAGGTATTGAGTTAATTATATTTTTAGTAAGAGTAATTATTATGGTTTTCTTTCTAGTAACTCTGTATATATAAATATAATAAAATCTTTTCTCTTAAAAGGTCAAACTAATGTTTGTTATTTAAATAATACATAATTGTAAAAAACAATCGAATAATTTTCCTTAAAACAATAAAACAACCGATTTTAAATCCCAAATGAAAATTTAATTAGCACATCTAATTTGCCAAATAATTACACACATCGCCAAAATTCTTAGACCCCCTTATGTTTGTCAAAATGAGACAATATTATTAAAAGTCAAGAAGTGTGTTACATAATACTTTTAATTTAGTTATGTAAATCAATACAAATTGACTGAATTAAATTTTAACTGAACAAGAAAAAAATACAAACGAAAAATAGTGTATTATAAAATGATTATTAGAATTTGAATTCCAGAAGAAAACCACTTTAGAGCGAAATCAAAAATTCATTAACATTCGGTGTGTCCGCCCCTGTTCTGTAGTAAGGTATTAACTCGCCTGTGCATGGAAACAATAAGGGTGTTAATGTAATCCATTGGAATGTTGTTCCATTCTTCTTGGGCCGCGACTGTGAGTTCCTGGAGGGTGATAGAAGGATTAATTCTGTTTAAAATTGCTCTTTTAACGAAATCCCACATGTACTCAATGGGATTCATATCTGGCGAATTTGCTGGCCACGCTAATCTTTGAATATTTTGAAATTCTAGTGTAGTTTGTACCCTTATCGTGCGATGGGGCCTAGCATTGTCATCCATGAAAATAAAATTGGCTCCAATTTCATTTCGGAGAGGATAAATAATGGGTTCAATAATGTTTCGAACATATCTATCAGCTGTCATAGTGTCTGGAATGGGAATAAGCGGAGTACGACGACCATGCATTATGTCTCCCCAAAACTTTACCGTTCCTCCTTGGTATGGAACGACTTCTCTGGCAAAAGATAGTCTTTCTGGTCGTCCTGGCCCTCTCCAAACTCTGTGTCGCCGACTATCACTAATTAAACCATATCTGGTTTCGTCCAAAAAAAGAACATTTCGCCACTGAGCTAAAAGCCAATCTCTGGGTTCCTGTGACCACTGTAGACGAGCAGCTATATGTTTGGGAAGTAACCTGGGTACTCTTAATGGTCTCCTAGATCATAAATTGGCTCCAATAAGTCTCTGCCGTATTATGGTACTAGAAATAAATCAACCATACGTTCTTCTAAAATGAGTTTGGACAGCTGAGACTGTTATGGTTCAATTCCGACGTACATTACCTGCTACATATCGATCTTTTCTTGGATAAGTTACTCTAGGACGCCCAGTCTCATGTCTCCAGTCAACGCTGTTAGTTTCCTGGTACAAACGTACTATTCGGATAACTGAAGCGCGGGGAATCCTAGTCTACCTGCGATTCGATGATTTGGCAGACCCTTATCATGCAAAGCCACTATTCTTGCTCTATTGAACACTGAAATTCTATTTTCAGGCATAGATGCAAAGAAAAACTCAACAATCACTTACACACGCAAAATCGATATGAAGCACTTTTTAAACATTGGTACCCAAAATTGTGGGAAATTGTTTTTGTAAAGATTTTTAGATACGTATCATCGGTAAAATAAATAAAGATTAAATGTACAAAACAGCAGCCATGATAAATATTTCGTTTTAATATTTACGAGGGGATCCAAGAATTTTGTCAATGTGTTACTTTAATACAACTTACTGTATCGAACAACTTAAAAAGACATCATACCACCGTTGAAATATCGATCGATAACAATGAATGATTTTCTGGGAATTAGAAACCATGGGCGTACGGAATTTCTTTTACATTCGGCCATCCTGATAAGATTGTCTGTCCTCAGACAAAATGGTTCTATATTAGATATACAAAAGAAGATAGACATTCATAGCACTAAAACATATTATAAATCTCAATAATAATTAGACTTTGATCTGATGAGATTTTTGTTGAATTCTGAAAATAAAGAAAAAACTAATGATCCGTTGATCTTGTGAGATCCGTATTGATCTCGTGAGATCCGTGTTGATCTCAAAAATAAAACAAACAATTCTGTACCATCCATGAATAAGTTGGTAAGTCAAAAAAATTGGAGTTTTTCAGTATATGGCCATTCTAAACAACATTTTGATGTTTTCGAAAAACAAATTTTAAGTTGAATTTCGTTTTTTTGAAATAGGTTGTTAATTATACAACCAACAATGTAAATAATTATGACCTGTAAAATTATATTACTTAATGGAAAACATCTGACTTGCCTATTTATTGACCTCAAATGGGTGTGTTGTTGTTGAGTTACTGACTTATTCTAGTATAAATAAACAGGAATTTTTTTTCTAAATATTTTTATTTATTCACGAAAAAAGCAAAGTGAACTTAATTCAAATAACATACATTTTGATTGGAAAAGAAAACTAAAAGACGACTGATCATTTGGGTAAACCTCTTCCAAATCCGGGGATAGCTGTAGTTACCGGTTTTGGCTTAAAAAATTGGACAAATCCAACTATTCACGGTGTCCTCTGAAGTAAACTCATGAAGGAAACTATTGCGAATTTGAATCACCTATTTATTCACCAAACAGAATGAAAAGAGCCCTTTAGATATATGTAGATATCTTATTTTTACTAAAATTTGACTTATCCACTTATTCACGGATGGTACAGAATTAATCTCGTGAGATCCGTAATGATCTCTCAAAATAAAAAACATACTTATACTTAACATCATCTTAGAACGTAACCGACTTTTTCATGTGATCTGGAGAAACAACAGTTATACGTCTACCACATTTGGTGAGTTCTCGTAGGCCTTCAACCTCATAACGATCATTAATAAAGACTTTAAGAAATGGTTCTTTTTATTTGCAAAAGAGCTTTTTACTAGAACCAGTTGTTACTTCACTAGTTATTATAATCATAACCAAACCTCCTTCTACGTATTTTCTATCGTCTCGTTGTGATTTATCATTCTGTTCTTTCTGTTTCCTTTGATCTTTCGTGATGTGTTTAGCTATATTACAGCGAAATAATTTAAGGTCTAGTCGTTGTATTTGATTTTGAACTTTGTTAAGAATCTAAGCTTCAGGCATATTCTTTGACTTGTAACCAATTAAGGCTTACAAAGGAGTCGCAATGATTGAATTATTAAAACTAGTATTTAGCGAACATTGCATTTGTTTAACAAGACAATCCTACCTAATAGAATCCCCCCAGCTGCTGTGGTAGCTAACGCATTAACTATGGTTTTGTTATAACTTTAACATTGCCTGTCAGGTCTTAGCGTAGCCACTGCATTTAATATATGTTTGATGTCATAAGTATTATTAAACATTTCGAACGAATTTGATGTAAAGGCTGTACCTTCGTTACTGATTATTCTGTTCGGTACGCCAAACAAGCTAATCAGATTCATTAAAGTTTTTACATGTTTCCAAAATACAGAATTTAATGAATGCATCCACTATTGCTAATAGAAATGTGTTCTTATTTTTGCTCATTTCAAAAGGACCCACATGGTCAATGTGATTAGTGTGAAAAGGGATTGAAACTTTTTCTATAGGATGAAGTTTGCCCCGTTTTAATAATCCGGCGTTTTTATAATATGCACAAGTTAGGCAGGCTTTGACATATTTCGAGACAAACCTCATTTTTACGAACCAGTAGTTTTCTTTAATACGTTTTAAAGTCTTCTGGATACGCAGAGTCCAGCATCTGAAAATATTGAAAATTTATCTCATTTAAATTTGTTATTCCTTATATTACAACAATAAAACATGTAAATAAAATACTGGGCGTTACAATCTATAAAGTCCGTACATAATATCCGTAGATATTATGAGTGTATTTATGCAACCAAATCCAAAACATAATTAACAAATATTAAGCAAGAGGCAAGCAAATTACTTTGCGGAATACAATCACATTTTGGCATACCTTTACCACTAAAAACTGTGTTACATTTCGGGTCCGCTTTAAATTGATTTTTTCTTTATTGCAAACTTGTGTTATCTTTAGAAGAATGTTTAAAGATGGGTTTATTTATAATCTTTTGTACATTCTTCATCAATACTTCTTAATTTTCTACTAAAGTATTCAAGGCTTTGTTTTATTATTCTTGTAGTTTTGACAAAAGTAGTGAACAATTAAAATAATTTATATTTTTATTGTTTACTTTAAAATTAACGAAACATCAAAAAAATTGTAGCAAGTATAAAAGTGTAAGGTTATGTTCTCGAAGCTTTTGCATCACTAATTCGAGTCGTTCTAACCCTTCATCTATTGTTTTATTTAGAATTATTATATCGTCTAAATAGGGAATTGCAATCGAATTTTTAAGATTTCTCAAAACCTTATCTATTAAATATTGAAATACAGATGGCGCATTAGTCAATCCAAATGGCATGCGCAAGAATTCAAAATGATCATCCTAGGTTATAAAGGAGTTTTCGCTATTGAATTTTCTGCCATGGGTATCTGATAATATCCAGAGGCAAGATCAAGGGTAATAAAATATTTGCTACCTCCTAAACGATCTATTTGATCGTCAATTAAAGGAAGTGGATATCTCATTTTGATAGTAACTAAGTTTCTAAAATCTACGTACATTCTATAATCGTCTCTTTTTTCTTAATTAAAATAACTGAGCTAGCATGCGGTGACTGAGATTTTCTAATAATATTGTTTTCTATAAGGTCCGTTATTATGTTTCTCAAAATAGTTCTATTCGTATTCGGCATTCGATAAGGATGGTAAACTACTGGTTCTTCTGATGTAAACTTTATTTCCATAGATATAGTTTCTGTTTTAACTAAAGCTTTTAATGACGATGAAACCCGATCTGAAAATTCATCAAAAATTTTCAAGCATAAATACTGATATTTACTACTCACATTCCCTATGTTAACGTCATTGATATTAATAGCACTTTGGTTGCAACGGTCTACGACGTTTATATCAATAAGATTTATTCATATTTGGCAACATGGTCGTGCGGAATTTCTTTTACATAATGAACAGCTCTGTGAATCGTTCTTACAGTTTCAGTTTGTTACCCACAGTTTGTAGAAAAAGATGGGTACTAGAAAGTGAGAGTCTCGCCCCTAGTTTGACTGACCAGTTGGTTTTGAAACCACTGCCAAACGGAAATACACACACACACACACACACACACACACACACACACACACACACACACACACACACACACACACACACCCACACGCACACACCCACACGCACACCCACACGCACACGCACACGCACACGCACACGCACACGCACACGCACACGCACACGCACACGCACACGCACACGCACACGCACACGCACACGCACACGCACACGCACACGCACACGCACACGCACACGCACACGCACACGCACGCACACGCACACACACACACACACCCACACACACACACACACACACACACACACACACACACACACACACACACACACACACACACACACACTTCAAGCAAATGACCAAAAGAACATTTAACATCTAGCATTTTGTCCTTCTAGTGTATCATTTATTAAATATATCAGTTTTAGTAGTATGAGTAATTGGATATTTTTATTGTTTTAGGGTGGGTATAGAACATACAGAGGGAGACAATCCCAATCCTTATGCAACAGCAACTCATGTAACGAAACCTGCACCTGCTCCGGTTCCAGCTCCACCAGTAAATATTCCTCCCAAAGTTGTAGAAGAATCAAGTTCAGATAGTGATTAAACATTTATAAATATATACATATAAAAGTTGTAACATATTTTTGTAAATAAGTGAGTATATACCTATATATAATCAAGACTATAAAAAGAAGAAAAATGAATAACTGCTAATTCAAGTTTTGATATTTTATAAAATACATAATAACAGTAGGTAGCGTAGACGATGAATTTTTTACGTTTTGTAGAAGGAGAAGATCATCGTTTGATGAATTTTTATCAATTATCAAAGATGGCATAACAAAGCAGGGTTTGTACAAAGTGGAGACCGAACACTTATTTATAAACATGTCTATATCCACCATGATTGCATGATGTTTTAATTAGCACTGGAACAAATCGCAGACAAAATGTCGTAGAATGCAGCCGGTTGCCAGAAATATTGACTTTTTCATAAGTTTTACATTTTTCTAGGACATTTTATTTTCCTAATTCCCTGTTGTAGGAGTTATCCTCCTTTTCAGGGTGGTCTGCCCTAATTACAGTATGTAACCTAATGTGTAATGTGCGCGTGTGGGACCTGTGCGGCAGGCTGTGTTGCCCAAAAATATCGCCAATTTTGCTATTTCCAACCTCGTAAATGGACAAGTCCAAGTATAAGGTGGGGAATATGACTTAGGGAAACCACAAAAACCTAAATCACGATGATTTACAAATAGTATGAATTTCTAATTATATGATTGGAAAGGGTCTATCTAATATTTAGGGGGGCTGATTCCAGCAAATCCTGCAGATCCTGCACATCCTGCCATAAGAGGGAAGTCTTAAGAGTCTGATTTGATTGTGGCATTTTTCTTTTTGGTTTTCGATAAAGTGAGAGTTGGTTTGGGCGCCATGGGTTCCGTAGTATGTCTTGTGAGTGTGTGTTGGTGTCTTTCAGCGAGCGAGAGACGTATTGTTTCCTGATGGTTTGGAAACGTGTGAAGATGTGTGGAGATGTTTTCGAAAACTTCTCCGCTGGGGGAGCGAAGGGGAGATATTGGCAACGTCTGAATATACGTCTTTCGAGTGTGGTGAATTTGTGGGACAAGTGTGTGAAAAGTACGCCGTAGGGTACAGCTCTGTATTCGGCAATGGGGCGTATAAAGGAATTGTAAGTGTAAATAAGGGTGTTTGTGTTGCAACGCCCCATTCGTCCGCACAAATCCCCAAGGAGACTGGCTCGTTTTCGCATCTTATCAAGAGAGCGTTGAACATCAGAGGACCAGTTGAGTGTATGAGAAAATCGTACCCTCAAATAGTCAACTTCAGTCTGTTGAGCGTGCCTGACTCCCAGGAGATTTACATTTACGAGTTAAGGGTTCTGGGAGGTTATTTGAGAATTTGGGTGTTTAAAGACGATGAACTGTATTTTCTGTGGATTTAATGAGACATTCCATCTGCTACACCAGTGAGAGTACTGGTTTATTAGATTTTGGGTTCGAGTATTTAGTTGGTTAGAATTTTTGGCTACCGAGATTAGAGCTGTATCGTCGGCGTATAGGAGGCATTTGGACGTAGGGTAGTTTGGGGGGGGGGGAATGTCGTGAGTGTAGATGATGTAGAGGAAAGGGGCCAGGACGCAGCCCTGTGGGACACCCGCGAGTGGGGAGAATATGTCTGATAGGGAAGTTGCCCACTTTAACGGTGATTTTTCTGTCTATGAGGTAAGAGTGTATGACTTTGGAGATTTGAGGGGGAGACCTATGTTCATAAGCTTTTAGACTAGTCCGGCATGCCAGACTTGGTCGAAGGCTTTTTGAACATTTAGGAGAACGGCTGAAGAAATTTGTTGAGAATTTACTGCAGTGACCGCAGTAGTGTGAAGGGAGGAGATTGCGTCCTGTGTGGAGTGATGAGGTCTAAAACCTTGTTGGGGTTGAGGGATGATGTTTCTTTCTTCACAAAATTCCCAGATTCTTTCCTTGAGCAGAAGCTCAAGGAGTTTCCATAGAACTGATATGAGAGAGATGGGTCTGTATGAATTTATGGATTTGGGGTCTTTGCCTGGTTGGGGGATCAAAATGGTAATGGCCGTTTTCCAAGCAAGTGGAAAATAGGCGAGGGAGAGACAGGAGTTTAGGAGAAGGGCGAGGGTGGGAAAGATGGTTTCAGGAAGATGTTTCAGCGTTCTTCTGTGAATGGGGAATGGGGAAGTGAGGGGGTTTTCGACATCCAAAGGTGGGACTGGCTCGGCGAGTGTCTGAACGACGTATTGTTCGGTCTCGTGTTTGAATTGTTCATCAAAGTGAATATAAATCTACGTTTTTGTTGTTTCCTTTTATCACAACGACCAGGTCGCTGCGACCAGGAGGCGAAGTACCCTTATTTCGAAGAAGAACTAGTAAATATTCTGGTACTTCTCTAGATGTGCTAACTTAAAGAAATGGCTGACTTTAAGGAATAACACAGGGAAGTAGTTGAGTACAAGTTTTTACCACAGGTTGTTTATTCTATCTAGTTCTTCATGTATAAGGATATTTTTTTTTAGATTTTAGTAAATCGTTCGTAAATTTTAAATACTTATTTAAAATTCTATAAATTGTTTTAAATAGTTTAAAATTTATTCAAATAACAAATAAAAACTACGGAAGTTAAATTATATCAGAAATCTTCTATTAGCAGTCAGTCATTAATATTTTTATAAGTCTTAGTTTTTGTGTATATAAACTGGTAAAGACATTTATACGTTGCGGTTTTTAATTAATTTGTTCAAGCATGAATTATTATGAAATATGGCTATGTATCTCTTTGTATATATAAATCATAGCTACAGTAAGAAAATCGTACGGCAAACAATGTTGTTTAATCAACAAAAAAATATAAATATATATAGATGTCTTAATATTTAAACAAGTAAGTTTTTAAAACTAAATATTTATTTTGTGTAGAATTTTATTACGTCGTAACAGGTACACTCAAATTTAAAGGTGAAAATGGCAAAAATGCAATATACAGGGTGTTCCCGAATGGATTGACTAAGAGGGGTAAAACTGTTTTATTTTCACCAATTTAAAAAAATGTTAGTCTTCATAAAAACTTTTGCTGGTTTCAAAACTAATAATAATTCAAATAGAAGTTGTTTTAGTGAAATAATGACCAACATTTTAATTTTTTTATCTTTTATAATATTATTTCACTAAAACAGAGATATTCAACTTCTGTTTGGATAATAATTATTTCTGAAGCAAGCAAAAACTGTTATAAAGAATAATATCTTTTTCGTAAAGTTGAGAATAAAATAGTTTTTCCTCTTTTTTAGACCATCCGGAGTATAATGATAGAGGATTTACCGAGAGGAACAAGGAACCTAAAAAATAATAAGAGAGGAACAAAGAGATATGTCTACTCTTCAATCCCTCCCATTATTGTAAAACTTAATTAGTTTCTATATGTGGATACTGTTGAAGACAAAAACCTTTTTAAATAAATTTTGCTTACAAAATTAAAAAAAAGTGAAGACTTGGTTAAAACTCTGTAGCGAGAATATAGAATACGAATAGAGCTGGAAACAACATGTAAAGATGTCAAAAACAACATTTCGATGTAGAAAGAATAAAATTAAAAAATGGAAAATTTATTGGTAGATATTAACAATGACAGTATTCAATATGAGCTTATGTGGCTACTATTACCTAACTTAGAATTTTTATCCACATTTGTTTCAAGAAAAAACAGTTAGTAGCTCGAAATATTACAGTTATTTAAATTATTTTCAGTAGATTAGACGCACAAATATAAAAAAAGTTAATGACATGTACAAATATTGATGTACATTTTTTTATTAGAGTTATGTACCTATTGTATTGTAAAACCGTTATTATTAGGTATGTATGTTGTTTGAATTTTCATTATTACTGCTTCCAAAAGTCCAAACTTATAAGCTAAACGTTTAGATTGAGAAAAATTTGTAAAATTATTTGTATAGTTTAGATTTTTCACGTAACTGTATTAGTATACGTAAAAAGCAATAGTTTCGAAGAAAATTTAAAAGTTAGCTTACTTTTAAATAATAATTTTTTTAAAAAGTTGCTGTTCACATTTTTTTAAATGAAAATTTGACATTTCTCTGTTTTATGAATTTTTTTCTGCGTTATATTAAATTTTTTTATTGTTATTTACTAAGTACAAAGAAATCTTTGAAAAGAAGCTTAATCAGTATTTATAAATTTAAAATAATGTCAAGCCGTCTTTTCCTCAAGGTTAGGAGAGGACGGGGTTAAAAGTTCTGATTTTCATTGAACCATTAAGACTATACTAATCACTCATGGTGAATTATTAATAGATGATCTTACAGAACAATTTTATCTCGAGAAATCGGAGCAACACAACCAGCCCCTCGACGGGGCAGGTTGTTCCGTCATTGGGGCAAATTGTTCCCCTCACATTTGTATTATTTTCCGTTCAAATAACGTAAGATTAATGAACAAGACAACTATTTTTTCGAATTCATTTATTATTTCTCAATTTCAGAAATAAAATAAAACACAGAACCAATCGGTAAAAAATGTACTAATAACACCAATAAAAAAAATTTATTTATCATTCTCATCATCTAAATTGCAATTGGGACAAATATAAACCTCTACGTCATCTCTTTCTGAGCATTTTAAGTGAGCCCAATTTTTGCACATAATGCATTCAATCCACTTTTATCTGGGTTTCGAATTTGAATAGGAATCGTAGCAAATTAAACAATACCATTATAAATTATCTTTTTTATTATCGCTTTCTTGGAAAACTCGCATTTTAAATTCGCTTTTTCGTTTCTCCTGTATTCTGCCTCTTGCTGAGCTTTTTCCCTTGCCTTTCCCACTTCCGGTTTCTTTGTTTTCCTAACTCTGATCGTCATCTCTTTTTCTTTTCTTATTAGCCTGTTCCTCTGCCAATGCATTTTTCTCAGATGTGTCTGTAAGAACAGCCGTTTATCTTCTGCATCGCGTCGCCTAGAAACAGTCGACTATCTCGGTGGTGCTTTCAGAAACGGTTTTTGACTATTTCTTGAAAAAATATTACATGTTCTAT